GAGGGTCAGAGGGAGAAGCAGACTCCCTGCCGAGCAGGGAGCCCGACGCGGGACTCCATCCAGGGACTCCAGGATCATGACCTGAGCCGAAGGCAGTCACTTAACCAACTGAGCCACCCAGGCGCCCCTCCTCTTTCCCTTTCTTAATGGCATTTTTGTTGTATTGAACTTGTAACTCCAGTACGCTCTGTAATTTAGCTGTTTTTGTGTGCTTTTCCTCTTTCTCCATTAGACTGTAAGCTCCCTGATGGAAGGGATTGAGGTCTGTTTGTTCATGGTTGTGTGTCCACTGCAAGAACAGCGTCTTACACATAGCAGTCACTCAGTAAACATTTGTTGAATGAATATTGAATACAGACTTGTAGAACCTTTCTGGGGACCAGTTGAGAACTTAAAATGATGGAGGCCTTATGTCCCTTACTAGTTTCTGACAGTCCAGGCAGTCTGGAGTTGTAGTTGTCAAACAGTGTACTAGAACTGGAGGGGCAAATGGGCTTCTTCATCTTTGGTTGGATTCTAGCTACAGATATATTTGAAAATAAAGTGAAGTCCCTTCTGCATACCAGATAATATAAGCAACCCAATAAATGTTGAATGGAGTATAAGATTTCTTAAATGGAAAAAGAAAATTGCAAATGAAAGTTACAGTATAATCTTATTTGTATTTTTTAAAAAAAGATATAATGTATAGAATCTGCAGTTTCCACAGATCTACTAATAGCGATTGTATCTTAGCAGTGGTACTGAGGGGTGATAAGAAGGAGGTTTTATTTTATGCCATTCTATATTGATTGGCTATTTTTTTAAAAAGATTTTTATTTTTACTTATTTTAAAATATTTATTTATTAGAGAGAGAAAGCGGGAGGAGGGGCAGAGGGAGAGGGAGAGAAAATCTCAAGCAGACTCCCTGCTGAGCGTGGAGCCTGACATGGGGCTTGATCTCACAACCCTGAGATCATGACCTGAGCCGAAAGCAAGAGTCAGATGCTTAACTGACAGTGCCACCCAGGTGCCCGTTGATTGGATATTTTATCATAAATACGTACAAAGAATTTCATGTAAAATTAAGGTCAATAAACGTCATGTACACAAATATTAATGAGGTTCCATACTACTTGTCAAGTCTAGGACCCAGAAGCTGGATCATATAGGCAATGTCCTTCAGAGTTCTGAGCATAGGAGTCAGGGAGAGGTCAGCTGGAAAAGGTGAGGCTCCGGTATACAGCTTCAAGGGAAGGCACAGAGATGTTCTTCCTTATTTTATTCTTTCTTGTGACATTTCTGTTTGGAAGGAGCAATGTTTGATTACCTCAAATACTACTTCATCAGTTTGTCAGTTTTTGATATTGTCATGTAAGATAGACTATTTCTCTGTCATTCTCTTCTTGTTCAGTTTGTCTTTGAAATCTTGTGAGATTTCAGGATTTTCTATTAGCAATTACAGCTATTTCAAGAATAATTTCCTATTTCAAGAATAGGACATTCTAGCAAAAAGAGAAATATTTACAGCAGGAAAAGATCAAGATTGTGTTTACATTGAACAGTGTGGAGGATAGTAGTACATTTTTATATTATTCTCATGGAAGTGGAAATGAGCTTAAGGGAAAGGATAAGGGGGCTTCTATATTTTGTCTTTTTTTTTTTTTAAATAGTATCTTATTAGGCAGAAAACAAAAATCACTTCACTTGGACAAAATATATCTTAAAACTTTAGGTTTTACTTTTTTCCTCATAAAGCCAAATGGCATGATAAAAAAAATCCAAGTGGAGCAAATAAATAAATAAAATCTTTAAAAAAAAAAATCCAAGTGGAATGAATATTTATTCATTTAGCAAACAAACATTTTTAAAGTCCTGGGTTGTTGTTGTTGTTTTTTTTTTTCTTTTTTCTTTTGTCAGGGACTATGCTTAAATGCTGAGATTAAGAAAGACTCCTCTTTTGCTCTCTGGTCAAATGGGGATGACTGAGACACAAACACACACACACACACACACATACAAAGGGATTTACAAATAGAGATTTATATGTGGCACATGGAAATGATTAATTCCATCTGGGGAAATCAGAATACAGTAGTAGTTGCAGCAGCAAACATTTCTTGACTGTTGTATGACAGGTACCTTTAAAACTCTTTCATACATTAACTGATGAAATTATACCGACATTCCATGGGATTTGTCCTGTTATCCCCATTTTAGAGATAGGAAGCTCATTCAAAGTCACATAGTTTGTAAGTGGCTGAGTGTGGCAGGCTGGTTCCAGAACCTTTGTTCCTAATGGTTATACACCATATACTACTATACTACTACCATACTATATACAGCTGCCTTTCTTTCATGGTGGAGGAGTTAACAATTGATCTAACAATTTACCTAACAATTGATCTAGGTTAACCTGGCAGCAGGTGAGTCAATTCAGATGGCAAAGAGAATCAGGGGAGAGCTGTTCAGTTAGTAGTTGGAGGTACAGGTCTGGTTCTCAGGTGAAAGTAACTGCTGGAACTGGCATTTTAAAGTCAGTGGTGATCCTAGAATTTGCCATACTAATGGCGTGATAAGGTACAAAAGAGGTAAAAGTTTGGTGATAATTCCTTCAAGAAACCTTCATGTATTGGGAGGAAGAAAGATGCAGAGATTGGTACAGGGCTTAGGGACAGCTTTAAGGTGGGAAAGGATTGAATATATATAGAGGCTGTGGAGAGGAAGCCTATCAAACAGAGACTGCGGATGTAGAGAGGGGTCTGGTAGACGGAACATCATGCGGGAGGAATGGGATATAGACTTTGCTGGGGCTGAGGGTTGTGGACAGGAATAAGTCTGCTGGTCTCCTAGGTGAGAGAGAGGCAAGAATGGCTACAAGCGTAGATCAGTTTTGGGTGGGGGGGGTGAGATGTTTGCAGCTGGCCAATCTCTAACTAGTGGTATGTATATTTTCTCATACTGCTGAGAGTGAGGGAAGAGAGTAGGACAGGAGGGTAGTGGTGAGTGTGGGTGACTGGGGAATGGCAGAGAGGACAGACCAGAGTTGCTTGATGGCTTTGCAGGATTGTATAATTTTCTCCAGCAGTACTGAATTACCTTTCTCTGGGAGTAGGGATGGTGACTTGTTGGCTTGATTGAAGACCGAGTATTTAGAAAAAAAATTGTTGAGTAATTTTACATATGAGAGTAATAGGACACATGTGAGTGAAAGATAATAAAGTGATATAATTTACTTTGTTTAATTGAAGGCAATAATTCAATCATTTGCCAGTGTTGCTGTCACTATATACTTTGAAAGTGATTTCTGGAATGGTGTTTGGACTGCTTCATTATGTATTGTATAATAGGTGCAAGTGCAATTTTAGAACCAGGATCTTTAATAAGCACATTTATAATGTGAATCCGGAAGCTCTATGACCGTGAAGAATCCATATTTGGAATGTATCCAGTATTTCAACATAGTATAGTAAAATGGACACAGAAAAGAAAGGCTTCCAGTGAACCAAGACATTTTTGCGTTGAGAGGAAATTGATAAATGGAAGAGGAGAGAGTACCCTAGGTTGCATTTTTATTCATTATATGTAGAAATCTTGCTTAAGCTTTCTCTCTAAACAAGAAAAATGGAATTCATCTTTCACAAAGGATTACTACCTGCTGACTTAATTGGAAAAAATAACATACTTTTTTTTCCATTATGGAAGATTGTTTTAGAGCTGAAAATTCACTTTTTTCTTTTTTCCTTTGGTCATTTCTGCTAATGTTTTGAGTTTCCAGGCAAATTATATTACTGGATACATAGCGCTTTTGGGAAACTATGTTCACTACTTTCTAGGTAAAATCTAAGATAACCTTTTCTTGATAACTTTTGATAATTCCACCAAATGTACTTACATCATTGTGTTTTTGTAGTTGAAAGCCTAGAATTTCCTTGAAGTGTTAGGTTTTAACGAACTTTGAGTTAAAACACAGAGCCTAGTAGCATCGTATATATTAGGTGTTGTGAATTTTTATAACATTCTTGATTCTCTCTCTCTCTTTCTTTCCTTCTTTTTATTTTATTTTATTTTATTTGTTTTATTTTATTTTATTTATTTTATTTTATTTTATTTTATTTTATTAGCATGTTCTTTAAGGCTAGAGTCTGAAAATCCCTCTTGTCTCTCTGTTCTTATAGATGTTAGGCTCATGGTAAATATTTAGAGAAGAGCCCAGGTTAGGTGTTGCTATTAGCTTTGCTAAAATGGAGGTGCCTGCATTATTCCTGGGGATATTATTCCTGTTTATTTCAGGTTCCAGATTTAACCACAGTTTCCCTAGAACGGTACTATTGAACTGATAGTTGTTAAAAATTATAGAGCAAAGGTCTTTTTCAAATGTTTAATTAGACTTCTTGTACACTGTATATATATATATTTATGTATACATTTCTAAATTCCCATTTATTGAATTTCTACAAAATGGCTAGCTGTATGCTAAATTAATTACTTTACTTAATCCTAACAGTACCCCTTTGGGATGCTTGGAGGCGTCATCCATCTTAAGGACAAAGAAATTGAGTATTGGAAAGGTTCAGTGACTCACCTCAGACCATTTAAATATAGGCTCGTCTCAAAGCATACGGTTTTATCTTTTTAATTTTATTGTCATTCTTTGATATTTCTGCAGTTATGAAGAGCAGTATTATCTCTGTAGTGCCTGTCTTCAGGACTAAATGAAACATTGCAAGATAACATTTATCAAGCCATTATCAAAGATATAGTTACTTTGTTCCTTGATTTCCCTGTGTGTTAAGTAGTCTTGAACTATGTAGGTTTAATTTGGCAGAGAAAATCAACTGCATTTCTAAAAGGTAGAGAGAAAAATAAAAATGGAGATTGATTTTGAAAAAATAGTAGCGACTTTTGGATGTTCTGATGATAAGAAACTCAGTAAAAAAATCCAGACTTTTTGTATGTGCATGATCTCATGTCTTTAAATGCTTTACAGTTTTAAAACCTTGTACTTCTTCTTGCATAGAGTTCTCAGTATGTGCAGTGTGTTGCTGGGTGTCTGCAGCTGATGCTTCGGGTCAATGAGTACCGCTTTGCCTGGGTAGAAGCAGATGGGGTAAACTGGTGAGTGCCCTTTTACTTTTAATGTAGAATAACATTTGAAAGCATCTCTCCTTGACATTTTCAAAGAAATTAATACATTTAATCATCTAAAAGAAATTTTTTTTTTCATGTCTAGATTATGCTAACCTTCATGGAAATCAGTAACTACTAAATGGAATGTTTCTCCTCTCCCTCACTTGGCCTGTGCTACTTAAGAGGTTAAGAACTCCGAAAAGCCTAATACTTGATAGAACAAATTTTAGGTATTCAGAATAGAAGAACAATTATAAAAGTATCTTGTGGTAAATGTAGACAAAAATCAACAGGAAAAGATCTTTTTTTTTTTATTATTATGTTATGTTAATCACCATATATTACATCATTAGTTTTTGATGTAGTGTTCCATGATTCATTGTTTGCATATAAC